AAATTTTTCCACCCGAGGTCCAAGAATCGATGGTAGGCCGGCAGGACTTCGAAGTATTTCGTGAAGGCGTCCACGGGGCGGTGAAGGGGCTCTACACCACCTACGAAATCAGCATGCGTCTTCGTGTTGCCCGCTGAGAGATAGAAAAGAGGGACGAACACATTCGAAGTTTGGAGGCTCGCGCGGAAGCGACAGAGCGCGAGCGAAGGAAGGTCAAGGCCGCTCAAACATAACCCCCCAGACAGGCTAACCCAATCGTGGATGAAAGAGTGACCCAGCGGCTCATCAGTACTGCACTTGCCGATCACGACACAGCGAGTATGTTCGCAATGGAGTCTGCGAAGGGGAGGGCCTATGAAAAAGGCTTCCACGACGGCCGAAAAGTAGGGATACAGAAAACCAAGGAAAAGCTTGCAGAGAAAGTTTGTCGATGTGAAAATCATGGATTTAAGCACGATTGGATCAAGGCACTTTAGGCCGAGGAAGCTCTCCGAGCAGCGAGCGTTGATTCGGCATTGCCACTGTACCAACCTAACCATTTTCCGTTTTGCCTTCGAAGTGGAACAGAGTGAGGATGAGGGTGACGCCGTATAAGAATACGCATTGTAACGTCTAAGACGCGAATTGCATCCACAACTATGTAATTATTGCTTTGATTTAATAAAATGTTCTATTGTAAATGTTTGTATTCCCTTTTTTGAATTTTTATATGCTCAATTAAACATCTCATTTCGAATATTGTCGTGTGTCTTATTTCATTGTGTAAACATTTGTGTGAATCTATCTTAGATGTTTGCATGAACATTAACCGGCCCGAGTTAATTAAGCATTTTATTTGGAATGTTTGTATGCCTTAATGTGTAAACGGGTTTTTCTGGATCGACATAAGAGTGCTCTTCATTATATATACTTGACTACGAATCCGGAGGCTTATTTGGCCAATCGTGATATCCACGCAGGGCGCTCTGAATCCGGAGACTTATTCGGCCAAAAGACACTATGTGCCGGGTGGGCCTCCGAATCCAGCGACGGCCAATCGAGATATCCACGAAGGGCGCTCCGAATCTGGAGACTTGTATGGTCCAATCGACTTGTATGGTCCAATTGTGATATCCACGAAGAGCGCTCCGAATCCAGAGACTTATTCGGCCAATCGTGATATCCACGGAGGGCACTCCAAACCCGGATACTTATTTGGCCAATCGTGATATCCACGGAGGGCGCTCCGAATCCGGAGACTTGTATGGTCCAATCGTGATATCCACGAAGGGCGCTCCGAATTCGGAGACTTATTCGGCCAATCGTGATATCCACGAAGGGTGCTTCGAATCCGGAGACTTGTATGGTCCAATCGTGATATCCACGAAAGGTGCTCCAAATCCGAAGACTTATTCGGCCAATCGTGATATCCACGAAGGGTGCTCCGTATCCAAAGGCTTATTCAGCCAATTGTAATATCCACAAAGTGCGCTCCGAATCCGGAGACTTATTCGGCCAATCGTGATATCCACGAAGGGCGCTCCCTATCCGGAGGCTTATTCGGAACAACGAGCTCAATAATTGAATTCCGTGACTAAGAAATAAGAAACTTTGCATTGCTGAAGTGAAATTTGTACAAATATCAAGTCCCACAAGTCGGGTCAATGATAGAATTTACGTAAATGCATTGAATTCCAAGGCCATGGAAGACTCCTTCCTAACATGTCTTTCAGTTGATACGCCCCTGCTCCTACGATAGAATCTATCTGATAGGGGCTGTCCCAGTTTGGACCCAGTTTTCCATCAGTCGGTCTCCTGTCAGCTGGAAGCACTTCTTCAGGACCAACTCTCCTGGTGTGTAACGGCGCAACTGAACGCGTTGATTATACGACTTTGCCAGTCGCTACTGGTACCATGCCATGGACGCAAGGGCAAGGTCCCTTCGTTCTTCGATTAAAGTCACATCCAAAGCCAGCATCATGTAGTTTCGGCTTGTATCAAAAACATCCGACTTGAGGGTCAGGTGGCCGATCTCTAGGGGTAAGATCGCCTGGGTTCCAAAGCATAGGGCGAACGGCGTTTCTCCAGTTAATCTCCTCGGCATAGTTCGATGAGCCCACAATACACTTGGTAATTCTTCGACCCATTTACCTTTGGCTTTCTCCAGCCTCTTCTTGATGCCGTCCAAGATAGATTTGTTAGAGGCTTCGGCTTGACCATTGTTTTGAGGGTAAACCGGCGTAGAAAAGTAAGGCCGGACGCCATACTTGCTGTACAGCTCTCGGTAGACGCCGCAATCAAACTGGGTCCCGTTGTCTAAGATCAGAGCTCTTGGAACACTGAACCGTGTTATGATGTTCCTCCACACAAAGCGCTTAACATCGGCATCCCGAATGTTTGTTAATGCCTCCGCTTCAACCCATTTTGTGAAATAATCTGTTGCGATAATCAGGTAGCGCTTTTTCCCTGGGGCCCTTGGCAACGGTCCTATGATATCAAGCCCCCATTGAGCAAACGGCCAGGGACTGGTGATAGAGTTCAACTCTTTAGTAGGCAGATGGTTTAACGGAGAGAACCTCTGGCACTGTTCGCACTTTTTCGCATAACATTCAGCATCCGCTCTCATTGTCGGCCAGTAATACCCCTGTGTTATGGCTCGATGGGCCAGAGAACGCCCGCCAGAGTGGGCACCACAACTGCCTTCATGTATTTCAGTCAAAAGCTCCTCGACTCTGTCTAGGTGCACACACTCCAAATATGGACCAGAGAGGGATTTTTTGTAAAGCCTTCCCTGTGGATCCAAGTAGTACCGTATGGCTCTGTTTCGTAGCTTGTGCGCTTCTTTCTTATCCTCTAGGAGTTGCTCAGAAGATAGGAATGCAACAATGGGATCCATCCAGCTCAGAGCAGACTCTATAGCGTTGATCTGGACTTCCTCCGAAGGGCCAATACTTGGCTCCGGGATGAAACCTACTTCGATGGTCCGTTTAATCTCTGAATTGATGGCGGAGGCTTGGCAAGCCAAGGCATCTACATGGGTGTTCTTATCACTTGTTATCTGGTTTAGCTCATGATGGTCAAATTTTGCTAGCAAGGAATTGGTCGTTTTCATATAGACTGCCATACGGTCGTTTCTTGCCGCGTACTCCCCCTTTAGCTGATTGATCACCAGTTTTGAGTCACAAAACACCAGAAAATGCCGAGCACCCATAATATGCGCATTTCGCAAACCGGCCAAAAGGGCTTCGTATTCGGTTTCTTTATTTGATGCTTCGAAGCCGAGCTTAATGGCCTATTCAATTATTGTGCCGTCGGGAGCCATGATTCCCAATCCGGCTCCACTGCCCCGCTAATTGGATGATCCATCACAATACAATTGCCAAATGTCCCCAACATAAATCCTCCAGTTCGGCTCCGGTCGAATTTCTTCAGACCTGAAGTCAACAAAGCCCTCAGTGAACTCAGCAACGAAGTCGATGAGCACCTGTCCCTTGATTGAGGTTCTAGGCAAAAATTGAATATCGTACTAGCCGAGTTCAAGAGCCCACTTTGATACACGTCCAGATGCTTCTGTACTGCGTAGTGCCGATCGGAGGGGATAACCCGTTAGCACCCCAATGTTGTGCCCCTGGAAATAATGCATTTGTTTTCTTGCCGCCACGACTAGGGCTATGATGAGTTTTTCCAGTGGAATGTAGCGTGTTTCAGCATCAACCATTGCCTTGCTCACATAGTACACTGGCCGTTGCTCCCTTAGTTCTTCCTTTATCAGTACGGTGCTGACGGCCCTATCAAAAACTGCCAGATACAAAATGAGCGGGTCACCAGGAACAGATGTTGTCAGGAGTGGTACTAAGCGGAGGTAGGTCTTGAGGCCGTTGAAAGCGGCTTCACAATCGGCGGTCCACTCAAAAGCCTTGCCCTGTCATAGTATATGAAATAATTGTCGACAGCGATCAGTGGACCGACTGATGAACCTGTTGAGTGCAGCGGCCATCCCTATTAACTTCTGAACCTCCTTGACCGATCGAGGAGAGCCGAGTTCTAGGATTTCTGAGATTTGCTTTGGGTTGGCTTCGATCCCTCGGTGGTTGACAATGTATCTCAAGAACTTTCCAGAACTGATCCCAAACGCGCACTTGGAAGCGTTCAGCTTCATTCTGTATTTGTGCAGAATGCCAAATGTCTCTTCCAGGTCGGCCATATGATTCTGCTCTTCCTTGGATTTGACCACCATATCGTCAATGTATACTTCCATAGTGCGGCCGAGTTGCTCTTTGAACATGGCGGTGACCAGTCTTTGGTAGGTTACCCCTACATTCTTCAGTCCAAATGGCATAACCTTGTAGCAGTAGGTTCCCCTTGGGGTGAGGAATGCAGTTTTGTCCTGGTCCTCTGAATGCATGGCGATTTGATGGTAACCTCTATAAGCATCGAGGAAGCTCATACGTTGATGGCGTGCCGTTGCATCGACAAGTTGGTCAATTCTGGGTAGGGAAAACAATCCTTAGGGTAGGCCTTGTTCAAGTCCGTGAAATCGACGCACACTCGCCAAGTCCCATTTTTCTTCTTTGCCACCACTGTGTTAGAGAGCCATGTAGGATAGGTCACTTCCTTGATTGCCTCGGTTTCAAGCAGCCTGTCAACCTCCTCAACAATGGCAGTAGTGTGCTCTGTGCCCGATTGCCGACTTTTCAGAATGATCGGCTTGCACTTCGGATCAACATTCAAATGGTGTTGTGAAATGGATGGGTCCACACCCGGTATCTCATATGGAGTCCATACAAAGACATCGAGGTTGCTGAGCAGAAAAGAGATTTGCTGCTGTCTGTCGGCCTGATTCAGGGAGGCGCAGACCACGAAGAACCTCTCTGGATTACCCGCAATTTCAACTTGGTCTAGGTCTTCCATGGCTTTTCATTTGGATGCCGCCCGACATCATCGAGGCTATCTCGATCCGGCACCTCAATAGACTTAACTTGCAGCTCCTTTGGCGTCTTCTCAGAAAGGAGGTAGCACACCTATGCCGATTGTTGGGAGCCATGGATTTGTTCGATGCCTTGTTCTGTCGAGAAGCGTAGTAGCTGGTGATAGGTACTTGGCACGGCCCGCATAGCATGCAACCAAGTTCGCCCCATAATGAGATTGTACGGTGAAGGAAGCTTTATGACCAGGAATTCCACATCCACTGTTCGGGTGCCCGCCCGAACAGGTAGTGAGATTTTACCCAACGGATACTCTGGATTTGCATTGAAGCTGAATAATGGATACGGAGCCAGAGACAGGGCTGATTCGTTAAAACCGAGTTTGACGAAGGTCATGTAATACATGACCTCCAAGGTACTCCCCTGGTCTATGAGAACGCGTTCAACAGTAAATCGATTTATGCGTAGTTCGATGACCGGTGGATCAATGTGTGGGATCGTGACGCCGACAAGATTGGAATCGTCAAAGATAATACTCGGAGCTTCCTGTGGCCGTTTTGCTGGAGTGAGTTGCTTTTGGGATATTGGATGCGATTGAATTGCATGCACAGTTGAGAGCGTTGGCAGGCTGTATGTCATGTGGATCACGCCGAGTGGAGGTGAATCCTGTCTTAAGGCTATTGCCTTGGTTAGGTTGCCTTTTCGGACGTACTGTTGTAGCCGGCCATCTTGTACCAATTCCTCTAGGAGATCCTTCAGTGCGTAACAACTATCAGTATCATGACCATGGTCCTTGTGATACTCACACCGTCTATCCCGTCTCCTCATGTCGAGAGGCCCCACCATTTTCGTCGGCCATTTGAAAAACGGAAGGTGCTGGATTTTGGACATAACCGCACTGATCGGCTCTGTCAATTCCATATATTTCTTGTCGGCACGCCTCATGCGCCTGCTGTCAACTTGCAGCTGCTCATTTTCTCGGTGGGAGCCTTGGTTGCTTGACCTGCGGGAAGCCCTTCTCTTGTCTCGCTTGGCCCGATGTCGTGGTTCCAGGCTCTGGGGTGCCACCGAATTTAACAGCTGAGCAGTTTCAATAGGAGCCATCTTATTGGTCACATTTCCAGCTTTAACCCTCAAGGCATCATCTTCCACTTTACAGTATTCTTCAACCTTCTTCATCAGCGACCAAACTATTTTGGGGGGCCGTCTAGTCAAAGAGTTGCGGAGTGCGCTGTCGGGATTCAGCCTCATCTTGAAGGCTCTGATGGCTATGGAGTTGTCGTAAGCATCGTCTACCAGATTGAAACATTCCTAATACCGCACCGAATAGGCACGAAGGGTTTTCCCCGATTGAATCTGTATTGCCCAGAGGGAATCGACTTGTTTTGGCTGGACCTCATTAGTAATAAATCTTGCCCTGAAAGATTTTTGGAGTTGGTGGAAGCTTTTAATCGAAGCTGGCTCCAGTTTATAGTACCATGACAGATAGTGGTCCCAAACTGCTCGGAAATATTCTGCACATCAAAGCCTCATCATCTCCATGTAGTGTCATGGCTTGCTTGTAATGGCAAATATGATCGGTGGGGTCTGAATTGCCGTCGTACATGGTCAATAACGGTGCTTTGAATTTCTTAGGTAGCACTGCCTTTGCAATCCATCATACGAAGGAATCATGCCAGTCTTCTTTATCTGAGTTGTTTCGTCTACGCTTATGCCTTGTACGCGGACTTCCTTCGGAGGAACTGGAAGTTTCTGATCGTCCTTTCTTCTTGGGCTTCGGGGATAATAAGTCGGAGTCACTTTCGGTGGCTTCTTGTCAGGCTCGAGAGCGTCGACCTCCTGTCCTCCCAGGTTGTTCCGGATCTTGGCGAACAACTTGTTTGGACTTCGCCACCTCCAAGGCCAAATCTTGACGGAGACGTTAGTTTTCAGCGATCATGTTCTCTAACCTTTGTTCGTTCTGCTTTGCTTGTTCCATGATCGCTTGTATTGCCTTAGGTTCTGAAGTCGATAGTGAGGCGAAACTCAAAGCGCGTCTTATGGGGACGGTCCCAGGTTCAAGCATGTTTGTTGGGGTGAGGTCGTCTCTCTGCATGGTTTCATTAGTGACTGGCGGAGGGTCTTCTGTTACACTCGCCATGGATGCGCTTGAGTATTTTCCACAGACGACGCCAATTGTGGGGAAGTAGTTTGGAAATACTCTTCTGATCCCGGGGGACGCTCGTGATACTCTACTAGTCACCTGAAAAGGAATAAACACTCCGGTTGGGGGTGCCGGAATTAGCTCTCCGACAGTCAAGTCAGTCTCAACACTCTAGATTACTTCTACTTTAAGTTTGGCGTAATGTTTCTCACATCCCCTTCTTAGTCTGTCGTTCCTTTATTTATACTTGTTTCCTGGGCCTCGGGGCCTGGCCCACTTTTCACTCATTACCCTCTTTTTTACTCGGCTCCACAGCTCAATATCTGTTCGGCATAACTATTCGGCCTCGTAATTGCATAGGATTGAGCCGAGTAACATCTGTCTGGAGTACGCTTCTGGCTCTGCTAATTATTCGGCTCCCACACCTACAATGTCGATAACAAATCTCGTAACTAATACTTTCTATATATTACACAATTTTGTAACTACACAATTTTTGTAACTTACATTATTACAAAGCCTAATAATTTTTGACAAAATCTTTCAAAATTAAATGCCGGAATTGGCTCTCCGACGGTCAAGTCAGTCTCAACACTCTAGATTACTTCTACTTTAAGTTTGGCGTAATGTTTCTCACATCCCCTTTTTAGTTTGTCGTTCCTTTATTTATACTTGTTTCCTGGGCCTCGGGGCCTGGCCCACTTTTCACTCATTACCCTCTTTTTTACTCGGCTCCACAGCTCAATATCTGTTCGGCATAACTATTCGGCCTCGTAATTGCATAGGATTGAGCCGAGTAACATCTGTCTGGAGTACGCTTCTGGCTCTGCTAATTATTCGGCTCCCACACCTACAATGTCGATAACAAAATCTCGTAACTAATACTTTCTATATATTACACAATTTTGTAACTACACAATTTTTGTAACTTACATTATTACAAAGCCTAATAATTTTTCACAAAATCTTTCAAAATTAAATTCACTCCCAGCCTTCTTTACTGATACAACCTGGTTTATATTATGCATTGTACTTTCTTTTAAATGCATCAATAATTTTTAAAAAAATTTTATTGATTTAAAAAATATATATACTTTGACTGCAACCTGACAAAATTTGTGGCTAAGTTCAATAACGTATACATTGGTTTTCCAATAAAAATCCACTTCAACTTTTTCAAAGTTGAATTTGTGGAAATATAATTTTGACATGGAACTTAATCGAAAATTATGAGTCTATCTGATCCAGTTTATGGAGTTGTTTATAATTTTTATTTTTTTTACCATAGTGATTGGTATAGTTTTACTTAAAATTATTAAATAGGGAGAGTTTTTGCTTTTTGATTATTAATTTTTAGTTTGTTAGAAATTGCACCAACTAGGCCTTATATAGTCAGAAAAGCAATTTTAAAATATGATATATCTATGATGTAAATTTAAACTTGGTGTTACATGAATCAACATTCATAATAAACTGTTGAGGTATATCTCCTTATTGGAGTTTGAGACCCAATTGGTTTATAAAAAAGAATTTTAATTTGGTTTAGTTTGGGTATAATATATTTTAATATATTATATCTAATTTTTTAGAGACCTAATTCAATTTGGGTACAAACTAGGGTTTTGATAAAAACCTAGATTCACAATATATATATATATTGATATTGTTTAGTTCTTCGGTAGAGTAATAGCGGCTGATAAGAAAGCAATTTGTCATCACCCAAAACAAGGGTGGATTTGCTTTGTGGAGCAGTAGCTAATTGATTTGTGGAACACAGTGAGGCTGCTAGAGAATTGTTGATGATCAATTCGGGGGTATTTTGGTGAAACTGATTTGGTTCGTTATTTTGGGTCATCTTCAATTTTGTTTCGAAAGATTTTTGTTCGTTTATTTGGTGATGTCTTTCCTCTTATTTATTTGTGATTATTTGGAATTCGCCTAAGGGTGGTTTTGTGAGACCATTCGTGTCTCGTTTGTAATTGTTTGGAAACCTTTTGGTTGATAGTGGAATCGGATTTCGATCCCGTGGACGTACCTCACATTGAGTGAAACACTTAAAATTCTTGTGTTGCCTTTTGATTTAATTTTTTCGCATTAGTTTTTATTCCCATTGATTGATTTACTTGTAGAGAATCATCGATTTTCCCTAACAACTGGTATCAGAGCTTACGATTTATTTGGGTTTATTTATTTGTGTAAATCAATGGAGGAGAATGTGGGTCATATGGCTAGCTTCAATGGAAGCAATTGGGTAACTTGGAAAACTAAAATGGAGGACCTATTATTTTGTAAAGATTTGTATGGACCCATTGAGTAGTGGCAAACCCGAGGGTAAGAAAGATGATGAATGGAATAGGCTTAATCGAAAAGCCGTTGGTGTTATCCGTCAATGGATTGATGACAGTGTTTTATCATGTTGCTACTGAAACTTCAGCACATGATTTATGAAAAAAATTAGAAAGCCTCTATGATAGGAAATCAGCCACCAATAAAGCTTTTATGTTTCGTAAGTTGGTTAATTTAAAATATAAAGAGGGTAGCCCTATTCCGGAACATCTGAATGAAATAAAGAGTATTGTTAACTAACTTGCTTTTATGAAAATCTTTTTTGATGATGAGTTGCAGGCTTTGATGCTACTTAATTCTTTGCCCGAAAGTTGAGAGACTTTGGTTGTGACAGTTAGTAATTCGGCGCCCGATGGAGTTGTCACAATGGGCCAAGTCACTAGTAGGTTATTGAATGAAGAAACTAGAAAAAAATCAGCGGGTTCCTCTCATTCGGAAGCATTCGTTGTGAGAGGCCGAAGCAAAACAAGGGAGAGGAGTAAGACTCCTCATGGTCGTGATCAAAGCCGTGACAAATTAAAAGATGGTTCTTTTTCAAAGATATTTAGTGCTATTATTGCCATGAGAAATGGCACATGAAGCGAGAATGCCGAAAGCTCAAGAACAAGGAGAAAAGGCGTGACAAAAGTGTGGATAAGAAGCAAGAAGACACAACGGCAGTTACTACCGATGATCTTATGGTCGTTTGTGAAGATGATTGTATCAATTTTGTGGGCCAAGAGAGCAATTGGGTGATTGATTCTGCTGCTTCTTTTCATGTGACTTCTCGAGTTGATTTCTTCACTACCTATACCAAAAGAGATTATGGTTCTGTTCGAATGGGTAATGAAGGTTTGTCCAAGATTATTGGCATGGGTGATATTTGCTTGGAAACAAATTTGGGCTATAAGTTGTTGCTTAAAGATGTGAGGCATGTTACCGACATTCGCCTCAATTTGATCTCTACTAGGAAGCTAGATGATGAAGGCTTCAACAACAAATTTGGTGATGGAATATGGAAGCTTACAAAGGGTTCTTTGGTGGTGGCTAAGTGCAAGAAGACTCATACACTTTATTTGATGCAAGGAAAAATTTGTAAAGGTGTTGTCAATGCACTTGAAGATGATACTTCTACTGAATTGTGGCACAAGCGACTTGGGCACATGAGTGA